GAAAAAAAAAAAAACTCAAAACCGAGAATAGCAAAAATATGTGTGTTGGCATGTATGTATCTGCTGTGTATGCTTAATAAATGAGATGTTAATGTCGTCAATCATCGAAGCTCTGCAATCGACAAATTCGATTTAAACATTTTAAATAGAAATATATTATATATAAAAAAAAAACTAAAAAGAGGGGAAAACAAATCATTTTGTGATTGTCTAAGTTTGTTGCTTACATGAAGAACTGCGAACCGTTCGTGTTTTTACCGCGATTTGCCATAGACAGCAAAAGCGGTTTGTCGTGCAGATACTGGAAATTCTCATCTGCAAAAAAAAATACGGAAATTAAAGTAAACGATAAATCACACAATTCAAAGTAAATTAAACGGACCTTCGAACGTGCCGCCGTAAATACTCTCGCCTCCTGTCCCGTTGCCATTGGAAAAATCTCCTCCTTGTATTATAAAATCCTTGACGACTCTATGGAAAATTACACCCTAAAATTGTAAACAACAATTAAGCAATGAAGTGTTATAATAAATAAAATTAATGTCACGTTATAATTCAACGGCTTCTGAGTCGTCTCTCCTATTCCTTTTTCGCCCGTGCACAAGCATCTAAAATTCTCGCAAGTCTTTGGCACTATATCATTGAACAACTCAAAGACTATTCGACCCGATGGTAGGCCTCCAATGCTTATATCAAAAAAGCATCTCTGCCTCTCCACTTCGCCATTCTCTTCCCCCATCTGTAAAAAAAAAATCTTCCATTACATCCAAATTCCAATATATGATTCAAATGAACGCATTCGTAATTACTTCTTGTTTAGGATTCAATTAGAATTGAGAATCTAGTAATATTTGGAAACAAAACACTTTGATTTGCCAGATTAGCTGACTTGACATGAATTAAATAACAGATTCAAATTTGGCTGTGCTGCCAAAATCGAGCATTAAATATAACCAACATTCAAAGACTATTTTGCATGCAACTTTCGATCCAATTGCATGCAACAAACAAGAACCGTAATCACTTTGCAATAATCATTTGAAACTGCATGTAAAATTATCAAGGACGAAAATCGCTTGGGCGTCGGTATTAATGCTATCCGCGGTTTATCGGCTATAAAACTTAAAATCGCAAACAAACGCACGCCACCACCAAGTTCGAAGCAAAAACTCACCTCTTATCCAAAACTGGAGATTGGATTCAATGCAAATCGATCACAGAATTAGAGAAAACCAAACTGTTGTTGTCACAAGCAAAATAAATGGCTCACGATTCCCAGTCGAACAAGTAATCGATGCAAGTAATGCCAACTGAAACAAGAGAAACGAAAATTAAATGCAATTTTTGGAAATGAAAAAAATGTTTATAACTATAGCGAATCGAAACAATATGCAACATTTGTATGTAAATTATGAAATGTAATTAATAACAACAATAAAAATATGGGCAGACGATGAGCTGGCGAAGAAACGGAAAAATTTATGGTATTTGAATGCGGATAACTTCACGTGTTATTTGAAAGTTGACAAGTTATCTAACCCCAAAAAATCGATCCAACTTTTCCACAGACTTCTTGATTTCCAGGGCAAACAATGCTCAAGTAAGTCTATTTTTTGCTCTGAATAATGTTTAGCAGGCTTCCGTCAATATAATAGAAAACAATTAAGGGGTTCAGCTGAAATTTAACTTTAATCCGTGCAATGATTGCAGCGCGTATTATGCAATGGAAATTCAGGGCTGCAGCGGCAAAGCGGAATTTCTTGAGGAAACTGTGAAGAAACTCACTTTGCATATATTCGCGAATCATTTGCTTATCAATCTAATTGGATTGTTTTTTTTTGAAGGTTCGGAGTTAAGGTTGGTGTGTGCGCCGGGGCTGGGTACTACTTGTCCCAGGAGGGAGTCTGGGGTGACAGCACTGAATCCCTAAAGTTCTATAACAAAATCAAAGAGGCTTCGAAGCCCTACGTCAAGGACTTGACCACCCAGATGAACATTGAGGTGAGCTAAAGGAAACGAATATAGTGAGAATGGAAGATACAAGTGAATGTTTAAATTTAAAGATTCCCGATTTACCGAATTCCGATTGCATCTCGTACGCAACGAAACAATGCTGGAACGCAGGAGTCACGAAGACCTTCGAGTTTCTCAAGGATCTACCAGAGCACACCTGCGAGTGGACAGACAAGGGCTGGAAGGCCGTGAACGGCAATCCGGAAATCAAGAAGTTCATCGATTCCTTCACTGCACCACCAGCACTTCCAGAGAAGAAGTAACAACGAAAATTTGAAAACATCTTCCTCTGCTGTCTTGTATATAACTTAAATTAATATATATATATAATAGTATTAATCGCTATTGCTTTTACTCTATACAAATTTTCATGTGGGAAGTGTGAAAAGGGAATCAAATAAAGGTGTTTTTGTTTTCAAATTATCAACTTATTCACGAAATTTATTATGTCAAAGTGTGCTGTCCAACTGTTTGGTTGTGAGTGTAGTAGATTGATTTCCTCATGTGAACCAATGGAAAGATGTAGTGAACTAATTAAAGTTTGTGTTTCCTATAAAAAAATAACAATTAGCTAAAGCTCAAGAAATGCTTTCAAGTATTAACAGATGATAACGAAAATCAGATTCCAATTATCAACATTGTGAATTTGAGAACAATTTCAGTAGGATCCATTGGTTAATTATATCATCATCAAAATTAAATCGCACAAACATTGAAATTATTTATATAAATATTACCTTGATGTTAATTCATTTATTAATTCTCCTGGTGATGAATCCAAGATTCAGACAATTCTTCAAATCTGAAAAAACAATAAGCAACAATTAGTATTGATAACTTCTCATTTAATCAAGTTCAAATATGATACAGTAA